TAAAATTAAAGAATAATATATTTTAGCACAATAACAATGTTACATATGGATATATGATGCTCATTATTATTAATATTAATATTATTATTATTATTATTAAAATCATAATTCTACCTTCATCTTTCCAAAAAATACTACCTTCGCCCTTAAATTATTGTTTTCTTTCAAAAAAATATGTAAAATAAATGGTGACACGGCTATTTTATTTTATAAGATAATCAACGAAAAAAGTGACGATATTTATGGATGGAGGGATTAATAGTTTCAATAATACGTACTATTATCTTCGTCCTATAAAAATTACTTATTTTCTATTCACGAGGATTAAATAAGTAAAAAATGATATGAATATTTAAAAGTAAGTGGTTAAATTTTTTAGAGTAGAACAAAATATTTTAAACTAAATATACTTTTGTAAAAAAGAGAAAGATAAAAAAGTAAACTTTGTGGGATATTTACAAATACTACCTCCCTCTAGAGTTTTTGTCTGCTTTCCACTTTTTACAGTAAAAAATAATAAAATTTCCTCATAAACTAAATAAAATTGATATTAGGTAGATATTGATACAAATATTTTAATTAGATTCATCTTGTATGATATTTTCAAAATGTTCTTTTATCTAATTAATACTTCGCATATCATATTATTTTTATTTAGTTATAAATCAAATGTTGATCTTTGTTGATTCTAAAAAGTCAAAATGGGACAAATTAAACACTCAAGGGTAGAATATTATTTTAGCAGGTTTTCGAACATAAGTAGTAATTAGTATGTCATCTAACATAATTAAAACGGAATATCTAAAAGTTATCAACTTTGTAACATAAGATCCATATATTTCAATGATTGTTAATTGTTAACGATTTTATTAGTGTATTATATATTGATAAATTAAATAATAATTTTATATATCATCATCATCATCACGAAGTTAAAAAATACTCCCTCTCTGTCCCACCAACTCTTGCTCGTTTCTTTTTGTCATTTCTTTTTTCTATTAAAAAACTATTATCACTACTACAGAAATTAATTTTTGAATCGGTTATTTTTTACCTTTTAAATCGATTAACAAGCGATGCAAAAGGTAACGATGCAATTGGTGTAATTACTTTTTGCATCGGTTGTATTTCAATCGATTCAAAAGGTGCCCACTAGAATATTACCCTTAGTAACTTAGTAAGTTTTACTATACCTATAACATCATGTTTACTAACTAATATTCATCACATCAAACGTAATTTGGAAAAATTAATACAAAAATATGTGTATCTTAGTTCTCATAAAAATCAAAACAAGGGCTTTGTGTGATATATGAAGTATTAAAATTATGATAATAATTTTAACTTTAGTTTGAATCTGATCAAATTAGATCTATTCAGATCTAATAAGATTAGATCTAATCAGATCAAATTATATGAGATCGGGTCGAATAAGAATATAATCAGATCTAGTTAGATATGCAGATCGACCCAATTCGATTAGATTAGACAAGACCTAAAAAAAATAAGACTCGAATTAATAAGACATGGGAAACGGAACACACTCTTACTCCATTCTCCCTCCATTGTTTTTCAACTGTCTGATTCATATTATATGTCAAACATTTGACTAATTATATATAAAATAAATATAATAAACTAAAATATAAAAATTAACTAAATTGTTGGTAACAAAAATACTTCACCAATTATTGTGGTTTCAAAATGTGGAACACGCAGCGCCTCCGATTATTTTGCCATTATCCCATATTCCATTTATTTTTTAATTTACCTTGAGACATTATTCTTTATTATATTTTTTAAAAACAATTGTGAGAAATAACTAAAATAAAAGTACACTGTCATATATTTAAATTGTCTCAAAACTGAAATAAAAGTACACTGTCATATATTTTAATTGTCTCAAGTTAAAAAATTTCAATTTTGTTTTCCAAAATAAAAAGAAAATAAAAAAGAAAACAAATGGAAACGAGGAAATGTTAGACAATAATACTAATAGTACTTCTTGTAGTATTGGTTATGGTAGTGTTTCATTATTAGTCAGCTTCCTAATCCTATTTGTGGTAGATTTTGTATGTTAGTTAGTTTCTATTTTCTATTCCTAGTTGTGTTAGGAGTCTATCCTATATATATTCTATCATGTACTCAATAATTCAATGAGCAATATTATTATTCTAATATTTCAACATGGTATCAGAGTCACCGCTCTTGGTGACCTAAAAAAAAAGTGTTTTGCTCTCACCGCCGCCGTCGCTGGTAATTCCAGCAACGGCGGCTCCACCCTATTCACCTCTATTTTCTTTTCCTTCTTTATCTTCAAATCAACTTCTCCATTCAAATGAAAAAAAAGAAAAAAACTCCTATTGAAATCACACAAAAAAACTATCGAATGAGGAACTTCTCTCTTGTTATCTCCATGGTTCTTCAAAAAAAAACTCAACACCTCACAAACTCTCTCAGATCTAAAAAAAGGGAAAAAAAATGATTGTTGTTTCTCTCCAATTCACCACATCAAAATCTCAAACCCAAATTTTTTTTCCATCACCAATTCTTAACCTACTTTTTCTCTCTAAAATCACTTATTCCAATCATCAACCTCCCTTCTCTTTCTCTTGTGTTGAATGTAATTTTTTAGGTTTCATTTAGTCGTGTTTTCGTTTCGGTTCTCCCCAAGTAGTGAAAGAGGAAATAAGACCTCTACAACTCACCCCTTCAAGAAGGAAATAGGGCATTGCCCGGATCCAAGAAAAAGACAAAAAATGTCAAGGATCTTCAGTCAAACAGGCACCTCCAATAGCTTTCTCTATTCTTTTTCGACGTCAACAGCTACAAGCGCACGTCAACCTTCTCTCATCTTCATCGACATCAGCAGCTACTAGCGCACGTCAATTTCTCTCTTCTCCAACGACGTTAGCAGCTACCAGTGCACGTACGTCAGGCTTCTATCTTCTCCAACGACGTCAGCAGCCACCGGCGCACGTCAGATTTCTCTCTTCTCCAACGATGTCAGCAGCCACCGGCGCGCGTCACACTTCTCTCTTCTCCAACGATGTGAGCAGTCACCGGTGCATGTGAGACTTCTCTCTTCTCAAAGTTTCTAGTTTCCAACTAGTGTTCAAACTTTCTCTTGCTTCAGCCAGAGTTCAGCTTGAGGGGGGATGTTAGACAATAATACTAATAGTACTTCTTGTAGTATTGGTTATGGTAGTGTTTCATTATTAGTCAACTTCCTAATCCTATTTGTGGTAGATTTTGTATATTAGTTAGTTTCTATTCTCTATTCCTATTTGTGTTAGGAGTCTATCCTATATATATTCTATCATATACTCAATAATTCAATGAGCAATATTATTATTCTAATATTTCAACAGGAAATTTAAAAAAAATGCAAAATATACTCTTCTTGAAAAGGTAAAACATAGACATGAAAAAGTGGCTAATAAGGTTAATTTTGAGGACGTCCAAAACTTAGAATTTTTTGGATAACATTTTTCAGAAAAACAGATAAATAATAGGGATATTTTTTGGACCGACGACCAACGAATTAATTTTTTATAAAAAAACTTGTTTTTATTTCTTAAATTAGAAAGAATAAGACTTTTGGGATATCTAAAAAAATAATGTTTTTTGCACTTCCTAAAAAAACTTATTTAGGCACTACAAGTATACATATTCTTTTTCTATAAGTGTATTTTTTTTGTAATTTTCATATATTTTTTCTATTCTATATTTCAAATTTTCTTTCACTGTTCTTTGCTGTCTTTTTAAATGTCTCAAAAAGTTTTTATTTTTTTTTAAAGACAAAAAATAATATAGACAATGAATATTTTAGTTTCTTCATTCCATTTTTATTTTATTTCTAATAGAAACAATATTGATTTTTAAAATAATACGGAGTAGTTAAGAAAATTTTCAAAAAAATAAAAAATGAACGAAAAAATAAGATATTGACTTTGATGCCATGTGATTTAAAAACTAGACATCGATCCCCCTCTTTGCCAAAAAAATGAACGGAAAAAAGTTACAGTACAGCGTTTTGAAATCATAAGAGAAAAAGACTATATGAGTAAAACATTAAAAATATACCAAAATAAGAGTTTCAAGTTTCATATTTTTAATCCCGAAATAGGATTTAAAATGCAATTACATTACCAATCATGATCATGTTTATTACAAAAAAAGTGTAGTAAAATGTTCATGTACAATGCTACATTACCACAATCCGAACTTCTATTTAGAGAATAAAAACATGAAACTCCTATTTTGGTATTTTTCTATGTTTTATTCTTATTTAGGGTGATTTCTAAAATCATAAAGATTATTTTAAAAATAAGTTTTCAAAATAAAGAGAGTATTGGTCCCTATTTTTTGTAAACCACGAGAGACTAGAATTATTACTCTATTAGGCCATTTTTATTTAATTTTTCTTTTAAGGAAAAAAACGTAGTGAAAAAAATATGACGGAAGCAACAAGTTAACGAAATGTGAATATGTGATGACAGAAGGGAAGAACTAACAAGAAGAAACTAGACAGTGCCATACTACAATTTCTATAATTTAAAATGATGTGAAATCTCTTACTTAATTTGTACACATGACAGCAATTTGATGGAGGGGTCATGCCCTCTCATTTGCTTGGGCATCGGAGAAATGCCCTTAGTATTTAAACTATTAATTCAAATGGATATAGTTTCTCCCATTGCGCAGAAAATATGGGGCCCCATAAAATATTAGACCCGGTCTATTAGGGCTACTCAGCCCACCCCGAGCTGGCCCTACGCTTTATCTGATTGGGTAATCAAAGCCACTTTCTGCCCCAACACCTCGGAGCCAGTGACTTTAGAACTATTTCGATATTATAATTATTAGTATTATTATTATGAAAAAAGCACACAAATAATTTATAAACCATGTTAGCATATGTTGTATAGGTTTTGTATTATTGGGCCACATATATTGGGCTTGTACTTGTATATATATTTCCAGTTGTATCAATGAAACACACACAGTTCAGTTCACAAATCTACATGGTATCGGAGCATTCCCTGGGAAAGAACATGAAACCCTAGGGTTTCTTCTTCGTCAGTTCATCCTCGTCCGGCGCACGTCTATCCTTCGCCGGTGGTCTTCCGCTTCTAGTCAGTCACTCTAGTCGCTGCCTCTCTTCTGTTCGCATCTGTTTCTTCGAAGATGGCAGCGGAGAACACGTCAAATACCAACCGCACACGGTTGATTCATGACCCTTCCTCCATCTATTATCTACATCCTTCTGAAGGTCCCGGCAATTCTCTCACTAAATATTTGTTGAAGAGTGATAACTTTGATATATGGGAGAAAGCTATACGCAATGCACTTGGAGGTCGTGGGAAAGCTATTTTCTTGTCATCCGTAGGAGTGCCGAAGCCTACCGATGAACACGAGTTGTCTGCTTGGTATGCAAACAATCAAATTATTTGTAGTTGGATTTTCAATAGTATTGATGAATCTATTCAACCAAGTATTGTTTCACATACCATAGCTTCGGAACTGTGGAATGATTTGCAAAAACGTTACAGCTGTTCGAATGGACCACGTATTTATCAGTTAAAATCTGAGTTAAATTCTCTTCGTCAAAAGGGTCAAAGTGTGATCTCTTATTATAATCAGTTCATCACCTTGTGGAATCAATTGCATGGTTCGAAGAATCCTACCAATGGGTGCAAATGCGAGGCTGCCGCCGTCATGCGTGTCCTTGTTGAGCGTGACAAAACCATTGATTTTCTTCTTGGGCTTGACGATGAACAATTCGGTCATATTCGGTCTCAAATAATGGCCACCGATCCTGTCCCGGATATTGATCGTGCTTACTCCTTGATTTCTCAAGAAGAACGGCATCGTCATATTGTTCGTACTCGTGATGATCGCACCGAACAGTCCTCACCATTGTCCACAGATCAGTCCCCTTCCTCGTCCACTTCTTCTGCCCCGTCTTCATCTTCTTCCCCGGCAGCCACGCATGGGGAGATATCTTCCACAGCCGAGTCCCCGGTGCCCCTACCACCTCGTACTCGGCGCCTCCCTCCCCGTCTTAACGATTATGTCCTTAATTGCGCCACAGCGAATACTCCAGTTTTGTCCTCGCCTAGTTCGGTCCCATCCGGTACTCGTTTCCCTATCACTAACTGTGTTCATTATGATAAGTTGCATGACAGGTACAAGGGCTTTCTCGGTGCCATTGATGTTTCACCGGTTCCTAAGTCTTATCGCGAGGCTGTCAAGTTCGCCTCTTGGAGAGAGGCGATGGCACAGGAGTTCACAGCTTTGGAACGGAACCACACATGGGATATCACTGATCTTCCTCCTAATCGGCGGGCACTCGGCTGCCAATGGGTTTTTCGCACCAAGTACAGGTCTGATGGTAGTCTTGGGCAATCATCAGGAGTTGGGTATTGACTTTACTGATACCTTTGCTCCTGTGGCGAAGTTAGCTACCGTTCGAGTTTTATTATCTGTTGCAGTTGCTCGCGGCTGGCATGTTGACCAGTTGGATGTTAATAATGCCTTTTTACATGGGGATCTTAAGGATGAAATTTACATGAAGCTCCCTCCTGGTTACTCTCACTTGTTTCCTAATAAGGTTTGCAGGTTGCGTAAGTCTTTGTATGGATTACGTCAGTCTCCCCGGAATTGGTTTGCTAAACTTCGCCTAGCACTCCGCCACTATGGGTTCCGCCAGGCTCATGCCGATCACACCCTCTTTGTTCTTAGTCGTGGACCTGATATGCTTGTGGTTCTGGTATATGTCGATGATATTTTGGTTGCCGGTAATAATTCCTCTATGTGCTCTTCTTTCAAGAAGTATTTGGACGAGTGTTTTCGTCTCAAGGATCTCGGCCCTGTGTCTTATTTTTTAGGGATCGAATGTGCTCGGTCCCCGACTGGTATGGTTCTCAATCAGAGAAAGTATACTTTGGATATTCTTCAGGAACATAATTTATCTGGATGCCGACCTGCGGATACTCCATTGCCGACTACACATAATCTCGCCAGGTCCACCAGTGTCGAACTTCAGGATCCTGCTAAATACCGTCGTCTTGTTGGGCGTCTTTTGTACCTGACCATCACTCGCCCCGACATTTGTTATGCTGTTCATACTTTGTCTCAGTTTATGCAGGCACCGCAGTTGGATCACTGGAACGCTGCTCTTCATGTTCTTCGCTATCTTAAGGGTCATCCAGGCCAAGGTATTTTACTCCGTCGTGATAGTGATCTGACCTTAACAGCTTTCTCGGACTCCGACTGGGCGAGTTGCCCTATCACACGGCGGTCAATCACTGGTTACTTCATTCTCCTCGGTGGTTCTCCTATTTCTTGGCGCACGAAGAAGCAAACTACGGTTTCCCGATCATCAGCCGAAGCCGAGTATCGCGCTATGGCTAATGCCTGTTTGGAAATCCGGTGGCTCCGCGGTCTTCTTGCAGCACTCAGCGTCTCGTGTGTAGCCACTCCGTGTATGTACTGTGATAACAAATCCGCTCTATTCATCGCTGCAAATCCGGTCTTCCATGAGCGCTCCAAGCATATTGATATTGATTGTCATATTGTACGTGAATGTCTCCAGCGCGGTCATATTATTACCGCTTATGTTCCCACGAGGTTGCAGACCGCCGACATTTTCACAAAAGCTCTCCCCGGTCCTCTGTTTCGCTCTCTTTTGTCCAAGTTGGGCATTTTTGATCTTCATGCTCCAACTTGAGGGGGAGTGTTAGCATATGTTGTATAGGTTTTGTATTATTGGGCCACGTATATTGGGCTTGTACTTGTATATATATTTCCAGTTGTATCAATAAAACACACACAGTTCAGTTCACAAATTCTACAAACCATTATTGAATGGAATCAGAAGAAGTTGAATGGAACGAGAAATAGTAAAACGAATTTTGAAAAAGATTGAACAATTAAATGGAAGAAACAAAAAACAATTGGAAAATATTGGAAGTTAAGGGTGCATTTGATTGTACAAAAATATATTCTTAGACAATTATTCTAAGGGAAAATAATTTTCACAAAAAGATACTCCATTATTCACGCATTTTCTATTGTTTGTTAGGAAGTTAAAAAACAATTTTCCATTATTTGTTAAAGAGAATTTTTTACATTAGTACATTGTTGAAATATCAATTAAAAACAAAGATTTTTTTAGAAAACTTTAAAATACTTTAGGGAAGATAGTTTGTATTACCAAATCTTCATTATAGAGCGTCATCCTTTAGAGGGTGGTCGGGGACGGGGAGAGGATGAAGGTGGGTGGGGGGAATGAATTTGATGAATTAGAGTATGAGGATTGCGTAAGAAAATGAACTTTATCTAAAATAGCCGAAAGTTATTTTCTCCTCTTTAACAAAATATTTATCATAAACAATAATTTCCAACCACTTATGCAACCTAACATACGAAATTAGAATTAGAATGTTTAGAAAAATCATACGTTTTTTCAACCAAACATATTCTAACAATTAGAATCCAACAAAACAGAATCTTAAAAAATTAAAGAAAATGTTTGCAAATCGACAATATTTTGTTCGACTCTGTATATGGCATGGATTAAAATAACGCCCAAATCAAATTAGGGAATATATTATAGTAAACAAAACAAGCTCTATTTTGGTGCCGCTCATTATTAATTTCGTCTTGATATTTTAAATATAATTAATGAGATGTCGAAAAAATTATGAAGGCATAGCATAGCATGTTTGCCCCTAGGGTTGTGTATATGGGACTATGAGGGAGTAGCCTCTGCTGAGAGATGTGTAAGTCAGAAGAGCAATAAAGCACACATGTGGCTCTCATCACTACCATTTTTATTGATTTTATTCCAACATTATTATACTCCCCTCTCCCTCTCTTTCAAATTCTAGCTCAAAGCTAAGTCATTACATAGGGGTTCAAATTATATATTACCACGTTCGTAAATAAATGCTATAATTTGATTTCACAAAATTTTATAAAATTTTTTAAACGAAAAAAAAAGGGTAGATAAAATTTATTTAGAGCGAAGATAAATGATTTAGCCATTGCTCTTGTAGTCTAGCGGAATCAGCGTTCGTAGCTATCCCAAACAGAGGTCATGAGTTCGAACCTAGTGAAGCTAACTCTTTAAGCTTAGATAAATTAAGAAAAGCATGTGTGAGCATATATTACAATGTAGTAGATTAATTAGTCTTAAAAAATGTAGGCCACTCCTTCTTTTTCATATACTTGATATTATGTTTATATATTAAATCTTGAGTTTTCTATGTAATTTACAACTGAATTTTTCATAAGGTGCACATTTTCTCCCTGAATTTTTAAGAATACATCCTCAGTCCCAATACTTTTAATAAAGTGCGTATTTTAGCACCGAAATCTTTAAAAAGTGCATGTTTTCCTCCCGAACTTTTAAAACTATTACACCATTATTCCCTATACTTTACATAAAATGTGTCCTTTCTATCTAAACATTCAAAAGTATATCATTAGTTCTATATTTTTAAAAATGGTGCATGATTGAAACCTTAAGAACTTATTTTGGTTTAACATTGTATTTAACCAAACTTGAATAAAATAATAGAACTAATGGCGCACTTTTGAAAATCTCAGGAGGAAAGCACACACTTTATGTAAAGTAGAAGGACTAATGGTGCAATTTTAAAAGTTCAAAGGGGAAACGTGCAATTTTTAAAGAGTTCGAGGGTAAAACACGCACTTTGAAAATTTATAAGGACTACTGATGCATTTTTAATTAAAAGTTCAGGAAGAATACATGCATTTTATGAAGAGTTCAGTAGTAAATGACGCAAAAATCTCAATAATTTTTCTTATTTTGTAGTCAAAATTTATAAATTTGACAAAGAAAAATCAAACAAGAAAAGAAATATAGGCCAGAAAAAATATGTAAACTTTATTTTTTGTTCAACAAATATACAAGTAAATTTTTGAAAATAACTTAAATAAACACCGTAAACCGAAACTAATATCTTTTTTCAGGCCCTGGAGCGGAGTACTAGTATCAAATGCAGAGTATAAAAAAGCTAGGGGTACATATATCATCATTAGTATAGAATTTGTACATCACGTTGTCACAGACACACATAGCCATCAACAATTTGTGTGCGATCACATACAGTTATTGTCTGTTAATGTCTCTCTTAAAGACGGTGTACAATTGGTGTACAAATATTGGTCTTCCCTTAGCAAACCCCATTAAATATTAACCCCTCCCCCTCCCACTTATGGTTTTAACCATACATCATATCTTCCTTTCATTAATTCATTCTCATTCTCATTCCAAGAAAAACACTACAAGCTCGCTCACATCCAAAAAAAGCAGAAACAATGGAGACTTCCCAAATCTATGCAGAAGAAGAATGCCACAGCTGCGAATCCGGGTGGACGATGTACATCGGCTCCCCTCCCAACTACGACTCCTCCCCGTCGTTCTCCGAAGAAGAAGGTGATGATGAGCTCGTCATCGACAAAGACTCCTACGACGAAAACAGCGACGACTCCATGGCCTCCGACGCCTCGTCGGGCCCCACCCGCTACTGCATGCCGCAGCAGCGGGCTCGCGGCACGATGGAGGCTGTTGATGATAAGACTAGCAAAAAAGTTAGGATTGATGATGATGATGATGAGCCAAAGGTGAGTTGGTCGTCAAATTACATTATTGCCCCCAAGATGAAGAAGAATAAGATGAAGAAGAATGGGGGAAAGGAAGAGTGTGTCCATAGTGCAAAAGGAGGTGTTGCTGATTCCAAGATGGAGAGGAAGAAGAGTTGGAGGCTAGGGTAAAAAAGGAAAGTGATGATTTATATTCTGAATTAACTACTCGTAATTCCTTAATTAATAATGTGATCTTATATTAGTATTATTAATTAGTGCAAGGTATGTAGAATGTGCTAATTGCCAATTCATCTCAATGAAACCCAGACATTAATTCCAAGATTTTCTCATTTGAGATCTTTAATTCATTGTACTTCACACTACATATAATTCTTTATGTTTTACTAGTTAGTGGGTGGTTGGGATTGATTTTAAAAATATTATATTTTCAGTTTTTACTTTGGATTAAAATAATTTGAAATATTTGGGGTGTCTAGTTTTCAACTTCTTATATGGATAGAGAAGCAAAAACCCCTTCTAATACTACTATAGAAAGTGGTTTTAGCATCGGTTGTTAAAATACGAGTGATTATTTTTCGTAAGTATAAGTTAAACATGCCCAAATGCCCTCTGATTCTTTGTTATCAATTCAACTTTGAGAAACATGAAGTTTAGTTTCTCATTAGTCAGGAATCAGGGGTATTGTTTTTTACCTTATTAGTTAAAATCTACCTACTGCATTGAACTCTTTAGGTACCATTAAAAATTATTCAATAATTATTCTAGTAATTACAAATATATTAATGAAAGGGGGGAAATTTTGTAATTTCAAAATGAGGGTGGTGTATATAAGAGATGATTGGCATTAACTTCGTCATTTGGAAAAATAATATCTAAGAGTAACTGTTAATGTTAGGTTTCGTTTGGTACACAGAATTGACGTAATTTGAATTGAATGAGAATTAAAATTTTATGAAATTGATTTGGACGAAATTAAATTCTCCAATTCCAATTCATTTTTGGCACTACCAATCTCAAATCCACATTTTTTCTACCAAACAGCAAAATTGAGATTGTTGTCTCTAATTTTAATTCCATAGTTTGAATTCTGTATTCTGAATGGAGCTTAGTATTTTTTATGTAGATTTGCACCTTTAAAAATTATCTAATTATTCGAAAATGAAATTTTCAAACAAAACCGCAATTAGGTTGTCTGATCTCTAGAATCTCGATTAATAAATCAAGAAAACAAGTCATCTATTGTTGCTTATCTATTGCGTACTTAGTTAGACATTTGGAACACTTTTACAAATGAAAATTTCAAGGATTATTGAAAAGGAGTAAATTTTATATATATTTGGGGAATATTTTCATATATAGTCATCAATTTTTTTAGACTAAAAGGTGTATTTATTGGTGCAATAAATGCAATTTTTTATTCCAAGAAAAAAAAGGTGCAATAAAGCCGTAAGGAGGAAAATAGGGAATGAATGCTTGATAACATATGCAACAATTTTTTATTCCCTCCGTCCAACACTTTGACCACTAATATATTTATTTATACATTAATATATTTTATAAAAATTTGATATTTGAAAACTATATTTCAAAATGAATATATTCATATTAAATTTATATCCTAATACAATGTATTTTTTCCACATATCATAGTCAAAGTTTACAAATCTTGATCAAAAAAAATCAAATGGAAAGAATATTTCCGGACGGAGAGAGTATTAAACTTCAGAAATACAAAAATGTTAAAAGTTTATACTCTATGTAAATTTGTACACGTGGGGAAATTAATGAAAACTACGAGCTTGTTCTGTTGGGGAAATTAATGAAAACGTGGATGAATCGAGAGTCGTGTAGAACACTTTCAGATTGAATATTTTGGTTGTTCAATCCAAAATTCAATCGGATAAAACTCGAAAGTATAAAAAACGAAATATGGAATGCTATGAAATTTCCGAACGATTTCGGACCATGGGCTTGCAAGATTTATAAAGTTGCGGTGAGAAGGAGAAGACGCGATCGCGTCTATTAACCAAGACACGCGATTCTTTGCGCGAAACTCCTTTGAAAAGCAGCGCTATCTGTAAAGAATTTTTCCTTTAAAGGAAATTTGAAAATACAAATTCAAATGAATTTTTTAACATAGCACTTTGCCCAAAATAAAACCCCAGCCAGGGGGACCCCGCAGGGGCTGCCGCCCCTTGAACCCTGCTCGGAGGCGCTGCCCCCTTGAAACCCCCGATATAATGAGATTTTTTATCGTAACAAACTCAATGAAACATGCACTCCGCACCACCAAACTTTTTTGATGATTATTAGGATACCATTGGTCATAGCTTTTCCAATTACACTAAAATATATAACATGTTCTTTAGAGCATTTATAATGACAAGGCATTGCCTTGCCTAGCCTAGCCATGTCAGCAAATTCCACTCAAATCATGACATTCCATGACCATTCCACCCCACTTCTCATTCCATGTGCAAGCCATGACTCTCTCATTTTTTATTTTTTTTAAATATTTTTAATATTTATAATTTTTGAAAAAAATATTTTTAAAAGAAGTAGACATATTTTAATAATAAAATAGATTTGTAAAATAATTTTTGATAATTAAAAATTATTAAAAAGTGTAAAAATAGACAAAAACAACGAATTGCCACTGTATGTTACAACACTCCACTCATTTGTCACACGGTGACTGTGTTATTTTTTATTAGGTGAAATAATCCATGTCACTGTGTGGCATTTCATTTTTGCCTTGTCATTGTCAATGCTCTTAGGATTGGAAAAAGAAAGAGTTAGATCTTGTAAGAAGCTGGAAAAACCAGAAGCAACTGAAAGAAATTGAAAAAAAATGAAAGAAATTGGATGGACCTGAAAGAAATTCGAAAAAACTAAATGAAACTGAAAACACTAAAAAATGGAAAAACTAAAAAATTTTTAAAAGTAATTTTTTGTGTATTTTTATATTATTCTCATTCTAATTCTTGTTATTATAAACTATTATTATGGTTATTATTGTTGTTGTTGTCACCACGTTATCTTAATGAATGTCTTTAAGATAATAAAAATATTATTTTTTTTATACACAAAAAATGCTCTTGCAAAAAAATTAACTAGAATATAAAATTAGCATGCATATAAAAATGTTAAATATTTAAAAGTTATTGTGGCTACGTTGTACGTCACTTTATTTATTAAGTATTATACTTATCATAAAATAATATATTTATAATTATACTTTATATATTACAAGATTTTGTTTTAAATATCACACATGTCACATAATGTAATAAACCTATTTTTTCTTTATTGATTGACATCTTATTTTCTTTGTAACCCTACTTTTGGTTTCATTTACATTTTTTTATGCTTTACTCCTACTTTAGCCTTTTTTCTCTAAAGTATTTTCGCTTTAAAAAAAAGCAATAGTTTATAAACTATAGTTATGAACATAATAGTTTTAATGATGATGATGATGATAATAATAATAATAATAATAATAATATATCGTTTTTAGAGTAATTGGCTGAGAAGTAGAAAGAGTTTGAAGAAAAAATAAAAATAATTGGAAGAAACTAGAAGAAACTAGAAAAAACTGGAAGAAACTGGAAGAACTATAAGAAACAGAAAGAAACTTGAAAGAACTGGAAGTTAAGAATTTAAGCTCTAAAGAACATGTTCTTCAAGATTGGCTAGTAGAGTTAGTTCTTAGCTGTTTGTGTTGGCTGATTTGATTAGCTGGAAGAGTTGGTAGTTTTGACCGGTCGATTGCATTAGCTGTTCGAAAAACAATGTTTGGCAATCTGCTTTTAAATAGCTATTGTAGATGTAATTATATTTAAAAACGTAATTTTATGTATATGTTGTTAGTAACCTTTTAACGAGATCAACCCAATTACACATTTTTTAAATTAAAAGGCTGACTTTACAAATACTTTATATTTTCGAGTCAAAAAATAAAATAGGACATTATATTTATTTTTTATCAAAATAACGGCTAACTACTAAGCCGGCTAATTTTTTACCCAAAATTAAAATATTGTCAATAAACGATTCTTTTAACTATATCGTCAAGGGACAACAACAAAATCACACCCAAAGCTCAGTACCACAGACAAATATAGTTATTTCTACCTTGCTCCTGAATATTTATATGTGTATCCTAATTCACAACTCAAATATTCTGATTTGATATTCTTAGGAAGAGAAAAAAACCTTGATAAACATCACCTTTAAGTGTTGCCTCAGGCCCATAGAGTGTCAAAATTTTAATCATTTATTGATTAAGTGTTAATCAATAAATCTATGAGACCTTATTAAGAGCTTGTTTGAGAGCGATTAACTTCTGAATAAAGTGATTTCTACAAAAGCTGAAAGTAAAAGTACCTCATACCTGCTTCTCCAAAACGGTGTTCTGTGTATAAAATAGTGGTGGTGAAAAGCAGAAGCTGACATGCCAAACAGAATAAAATCACTTCCACTCAAAGCAGAAGCTAAATTATTAAAAGTAGCGCGCTGCCAAACATTCTCTAATACCTTGTAGATAAATGTCAAAGTTCTTAAGAAATAAATAGAAACTCAGTAAATTGCTACCGTACAATGTCTATACAGTGTCAAACAAGACCATATTTAATGTTGCATGTCACCGCATAATGACAATCATGTCATTGTATAAAGTCATACATGTAAATGCATAATGCTAAACTAAGAGATAATGTCAAATATGACAATATATAGTGTCACACTTGGCAATGAATAATGACAGATATGCCAATGTATAATTTTACATATAACACATATGTTATGCATAATCGCAAAAAAGTTAAACATCAAGAAACTCTATTTGCCAACACAATAATCATTTAGTGTCAATATATGTTTTACAGGATAATTTTCTAAGAAGTAAATTCAGATTTATAATCAAATGTCACAACCTATGTGAAATTGAATATAAAATTGATCTAAAGCTTCAAACTCACGCAAGGCTAAAAGAATTAGTACCAATTTTACAAAATAATTCCCGAAGAAGTAAATTTTTAGATTTAAAATTGAATTTAACTACTTATGTCAAATTTAATATCAAATTGAATTCAAACTTACCCAAGGAGACGGAGGCATCTAAGCGATGAAAAATAGAAATGGTGGAGAGGGGTGGAAGGAGATTGTGTGTATGAGAGAAAGAGAGATGATGGAGAGTGCGGTGGAATCATTGCCACATAGAAGAAATGGTATCGGCAGAGAGGAGATTGAAATTAAGTTGACAGCGGCAACAACTGAGATTAGAACGAAGGAGATCATAGAAGGATGAGATTGGGAAGGGGCTAGGTGACTTTTTCGACCGCATAGGACTGGGATGCGGTGTAGTTTGTGCGGAAGAGTGAATCAAAACAAACTTTAATTAATTACTCCTATTTAGAGAAGTTTAAATTTGAACTACTATTTTAAGGATATGATATATGTTTTACTACTATTTCAGGGGTTTTTTTATCTTTTTATACTTGAAAATAATGAAGAGTGTCACTGTATTATTTTTAATATTTTGAGTGTAAGTGATATGTTAATTTCAATTTTTTTTCTACCATGAAAGACTGTTTTGTTTTGAGCTTTTTACGCATTAATAATGAAAATCGGAGGTAGAGAAATACTGCGCGCGCGTGAGGAGTAGGATGTCTAAGCTGCTTCCTACCACCTGTCTTACGTCACTTCACCTCCGCTCCTCCGCCGTCTCTCTATCCTGGCCGTCCGCCGTCCACGTTTCTGCGATTCCGCTCAACAGTCCGCCCTTCCCTATATTCACCCGC